ACATTCTTCTCTAGTGCCCATGGAACATTCTCCAGAATAGGTCACATCCTGGGTCACAAATCAGGTCTCAACTGGTACTCAAAGATTGGGATCAATTCCCTGCCTAATTTTGGACCACAGTGCTTTGAAACTCGAGCTCAGTCACAAGAGGAAAGTTGGAAAGAACTCAAATACCTGGAGGCTAAAGAGCATCCTACTAAACAATGAATGGGTCAGCCAGGAATTAAAGAAGAATTAAAAAAATTCATGGAAACAAATGAAAATGAAAACACAACTGTTCAAAACCTTTGGGATGCAGCAAAGGCGGTCCTAAGAGGGAAGTATATAACAATACAAGCCTTTCTCAAGAAACAAGAAAGGTCTCAAATACACAAACTAACCCTACACCTAAAGGAGTTGGAGAAAGAACAGCAAATAAAGCCCAAACCCAGCAGGAGAAGAGAAATAATGAAGATCAGAGCAGAAATCAATGAAATAGAAACCAAAAGAACAGTAGAACAGATTAATGAAACTAGGAGCTGGTTTTTTGAAAGCATTAATAAGATCAATAAACCCCTGGCCAGACTTAGCAAAAAGAAAAGAGAAAGGACCCAAATAAATAAAATCATGAATGAAAGAGGAGAGATCACAACCAACACTGAAAAAACACAATGATAAGAACATATTATGAGCATCTATATGCCAACAAATTAGGCAATCTGGAAGAAATGGGATGCATTCCTAGAGATGTATAAACTACCAAAACTGAACCAGGAAGAAATAGAAAACCTGAACAGACCCATAATCAGCAAGGAAATTGAAGCAGTCATCAAAAATCTCCCAATAAACAAGAGCCCAGGGCCAGATGGCTTCCCAGGGGAATTCTACCAAACACTGAAAGAAGAATTAATACCTATTTTTTGGAAACTGTTCCAAAAAATAGAAACAGAAGGAAAACTTCCAACTCTTTCTATGAGGCCAGCATTACCTTGATCCCAAAACCAGACAAAGACCCCACCAAAAAGGAGTATTACAGACCAATAGCCCTGATGAACATGGATGCAAAAATTCTCACCAAGATACTAGCCAATAGGATCCAACAGTACATTAAAAGGATTATTCACCATGACTAAGTGGGTTTTATTCCTGGGCTGCAAGTTTGGTTCAACATCTGCAAATCAATCAATGTGATGCGCTACATAAATAAAAGAAAGGACTAGAACTATATGATACTCTCAATAGGTGCAGAAAACACATTTGACAAAGTACAGCATCCTTTCTTGATTAAAACTCTTCACAGTGTAGGGATAGAGGGTACATACCTCAATATCATAAAGCCATCTATGAAAAACCCACAGCGAAGATCATTCTCAATGGGGAAAAACTGAGAGCTTTTCCCCTAAGGTCAGGAACACGGCAGGGATGTCCACTATCACCACTGCTGTTCAACATAGTACTGGAAGTCCTCGCCACAGCAATCAGACAACAAAAAGAAATAAAAGGCATCTGAATTGGCAAAGAAGTCAAACTCACTTTTCGCAGATGACATGATACTCTATGTGGAAAACCCAAAAGACTCCACCCCAAAATTGCTAGGACTCATACAGGAATTCAGCAAAGTGGCAGGATATAAAATCAATGCACAGAAATCAGTTGCATTCCTATACACCACCAACAACAGAAGAAAGAGAAATTAAGGAGTTGATCCCATTTACAATTGCACCCAAAACCGTAAGATACCTAGGAATAAACCTAACCAAAGAGGCAAAGGATCTGTACTCAGAAAACTATAGAATACTCATGAAAGAAATTGAGGAAGACACTAAGAAATGGAAAAACGTTCCATGCTCATGGATTGGAAGAACCAATATTGTAAAAATGTCTATGCTACCTAGAGCAATCTACATATTCAATACAATCCCTATCAAAATACCATCACCTTTTTTCACGGAGCTGGAACAAATAATCCTAAAATTTGTATAGAACCAGAAAAAGGCCAAAAGAGCCAGAGGAATGTTGAAAAAGGAAACCAAAACTGGTGGTGGGGCACCTGGGTGCCTCAATCGTTAAGTCTGCCTTTGGTTCAGGTCATGATCCCAGGGTCCTGGGATCGAGCCCTGCATCAGGTTCCCTGCTCAGCAGGAAGCCTGCTTCTCCCTCTCCCACTGTCCCTGCTTGTGTTCCGTCTTTCGCTGTCTCTCTCTCTCTGTCAAATAAATAAGTAAAGTCTTTGAAAAAAAAAAAAGACAAAACTGGTGGCAACACAATTCTGGATTTCAAGCTCTATTACACAGCTGTAATCATCAAGACAGTATGGTACTGGCACAAAAACAGACACATAGATCAATGGAACACAATAGAGAACTCAGAAATGGACTCTCATCTCTATGGTTAACTAATCTTCCACAAAGCAGGAAAGAATATCCAATGGAAAAAGACAGCCTCTTCAATAAATGGTGTTGGGAAAATTGAACAGCCAAAAGCAGAAGAATGAAACTGGATCATTTCCTTACACCATACACAAAAATAGATTCAAAATGGATGAAAGACCTAAATCTGAGACAGGAATCCATCAAAATCCTAGAGGAGAACACAGGCAGCAACCTTTTTGACCACAGCCACAGCAACTTCTTCCTGGACACATTGCCAAAGGAAAGCAAAGCAAGGGTAAAAATGAACTATTGGGACTTCATCAAGATAAAAAGCTTTTGCACAGCAAAGGAAACAGTCAACAAAACCAAAAGACAACCGGCAGAATGGGAGAAGATATTTGCAAATGACATCTCAGGTAAAGGGCTAGTATCCAAAATCTATAAAGAACTTATCAAACTCAACACCCAAGGAACAAATAATCCAATCAAGAACTGGGCAGAAGACATGAACAGACATTTCTGCAAAGAAGACATAGAAATGGCCGACAGGCACATGAAAAAATGCTCAGTGTCACTCGGCATCAGGAAAATCCAAATCAAAACCACAATGAGATACCACCTCACACCAGTCAGAATGGCTAAAATGAACAAGTCAGGAAATGACAGATGTTGGCGAGGATGCAGAGAAAGAGGAACCTTCCTACACTGTTGGTGGGAATGCAAGCTGGTGTAGCCACTCTGGAAAACAGTATGGAGATTCCTCAAAAAGTTGAAAATAGAGCTACCCTACGACCCAGCATTTGCACTACTGGGTATTTACCCCAAAGATACAAATGTAGTGTTCCGAAGGGGCATGTGCACCCCAATGTTTATAGCAGCAACCTCCACAATTGCCAAACTATGGAAAGAGCCCAGATGTCCACCGACAGATGAATGGATAAAAAAGATATGGTATATATATACAATGGACTACTGCTCGGCCATCAAAAAAATGAAATCTTGCCATTTGCAATGACATGGATGGAACTAGAGGGTATTGTGCTAAGTGAAATGAGTCATCCGGAGAAAGATAATTTTCACATGATATCACTGATATATAGAATTCAAGAAACAAAACAGAGGATCATAGGGGAAGAGAGGAAAAAATAAAACAAGATGAAACCAGAGAGGGAGACAAACCAGAGAGGGAGACAAACCATAAGAGACTCTTAACCATAAGAAACCTAAGAAACCATAAGGAGGGTTGCTGGAGGGGAGGAGGGTGTAAGGATGGGGTAACTGAGTGATGGACATTAAGGAGGGCACGTGATGTAATGAGCACTGGGTATTATGTAAGACTGATGAATTAAAGGCCTGCACCTCTGAAACCAATAATACATTATGTTCATTAATTGAATTTAAATTAAAAATGTTTAAAAATTAAAAAAAATACAATGCTTTTTTTTTTAAGATTTTATTTATTTGACAGAGAGATACACAGCGAGAGAGGGAACACAAGCAGGGGGAGTGGGAGAGGGAGAAGCAGGCTCCCCGCAGAGCAGGGAGCCCGATGAGGGGCTCGATCCCCGGACCCTGGGATCATGACCTGAGCCAAAGGCAGACGCTTAACGACTGAGCCACCCAGGCACCCAAAAAATACAACAATGCTTTTAAAATAAGATTTAAAAAAAAAAGTCAATTAGTTAACATGTAGTAGAGTTTAGTGATTCTTTGGTTGCGTATAACACCCAGTGCTCATTACACCAAGTGATAAAAATACCCTGATATCTTAATGTTGACAATGGGGAAATTGGTAGCATTCTGTACTAGTTTTGCAATTTTTCTGTAAATCTAAAATTAATTCCAAAATTTAAAAAATTATATATAAAAAAGATGATTAGGTAAGTTTTAAATTCTACTCATGTGTTCATTTATGCAACCAAGACTGATTGCTTATTATGTGTCAGGTCTTAAGTACATGTTAGTGCCACCCCTTGTGGGGTTTACAATCTAGTGGTGATTTCGCAGGAAGAATATCCCTATTGTTTTTTTAAAAAGCAAAACTCAACTACAAAGCATTATAGCTTAACAAAATCTTGGCTGTGGGCTCTATAAGCAGAATCCTTGCCCTATCACTTCCTAGCTTTGTGACCTTGGCAAAGGTAACCTCGCCGTGTGTGTTTTCCTCAGTGTTAAGATGGGGCAAAAAAACCAGATTCCCTCATAGGTGTTTAACAGTGCTTAGCATGCATTAAAGCACTTACTCTCGGTTATTACAATTATGATTATAATCATTAAAAAGACACAGTGATTCGTAACACGGATACAGGAGAGCGTACTATGAACAGGGAGCGTGACATTTGCTCGAAGAACGCACCCGGGTCTGACAACCAAAATGCTTTTCAGACAGCGACGGTGACTGCCTGCGTGGGTTTAGAAACAGCAGCTCCGGCCCCGCCCCTTTCATCCTCGGGCTCCGCGGTCGCCGGTCAGAGGGAGGGGCTTGACGCCTACGCCCAGAGGGAGGGGCTGACGCCGGAGCCTCAGCCGGGCTGAGTCGGGAGAGGTCTGTCCCACGCCAGGCCTTGAAATCTCACATCCCCCACGGGGCGGAGCAAACCTGGAAGTGGCCGCGCTGTTTTGCATAGCAATGATCAGCTTTGCATAACCAGTGTAGGCAAGCATTTAAAGGCGCTACCGCGGCCACAGACCCGGTAATCCGGTGCAGACCCACTGCTCGAAATGATCCCAAAGATGCAGGCTCCGCTCGTGATGGCCTTGGGCCTACTCCTCGCCGGCCCTGCGGCCCGTGCACGCGTCCATCTGAATCAGGTGAGACCCCCTCTCCTTTCGGTGGCTGCTTCCAGTTTGCCGGCCCAGTTGGGGTGGGATTATGGGGGTGGCTACTCCGCTTTCTAGAATTCCTTCTCTTCAACAGAGCCTCCCAAAGTCACTAACTGTGGGACTCTGAGTGGGTCCTTTTCTGTCTCTGAGTTTCGGTTAACTCATCTGTACAGTGAGGGTGGGCTATTAGGCCTTGTCTGCTCCAGACTTTTGGGGAAGGGTTAATCTCTCTCAGGTCTCTACTCTCTTGTTCTCTTCTTTCTGAACATCTGAGTGAAAGTTGCCAGAACTGCCAGGCTAAGGAACTGCTCCCAGGCCCAGAGACTCAGCCTTGTTTACCAACCCCCCCTTCCACCTCCCATAAAAAGGCCTGGCACCCATCCCTTCCCCTTCTGTGGCGCCGCTTGTCCTGATGGGTGGGTGGGTTTGAGAGGCTTGTTCTTCTGGTGATTGAGATCCAGCACTGTGACCCACTGCTTCTAGTTACAGGCCACGAAGAGTCTCCAGCTTCCTCCTTCACTTTTCACTCACCCCATGCTCCAGACCCTTGGAAAAGGGAAGTTCTGTCATTCTAAGACCAGGAGAAGCCTGGTTCCATTGCCTCTTTGCTGCATAGCTGTGGGCAAGACACAGATGGTGTCCTCATCTGTAAAATGAGCATGATGATATCAACCTGCCTTTCTCAGATGCATATGGGCATCAGAAGCATCTGGAAACTTGAGTTTTATTTCCTGTTCTAGCATTAACCAGTCTCGTGTCACCGGGCTGAGAAAGGCAGTTTGAGAATGTTTCTCTTGGCTCCAGGCTGACCACTGTGAGGTGGAGTCTGGCTAGAGCTCCAACTTGCCCTACATCCCCAATTCTCTTAGATGTCTTGGCCATGGATGCCCTCCCAGACCAGAAGGCTTTAGATAGATCAGCAGTTTTGGGGAGGCCCTGAGACATCATAGAGTTCACCCACCTCGCTCAGGACCCTAGGGGATACAGGCCCACCCACCATTGTACAAGAGGCACTTTACTTCGTTTTTTCTGGGCTCATGGTTATTCAGAGCCCTGTGCCTGAGACCATGGTCCAGATAAAGGCATTGGGGTGATAGTGAGCATTTAAGCATCTAGAAACTTGAGTTTTATTTCCTTTTCTAGCATTTACCAGTCTCGTGTCACCGGGCTGTGGCCAGCATTAGACAGTGGGGAGAATGTCTAATCCTGTGCTAGGCATATAGTAGGTGCTTAATAGACTCTGTGACCCTGTATAATGACTGTCATTTATTGTGCACATACTCTGTGCTATGTGTTGAGCTGTGTGCTTTTTCTTCTAATAAGCTTTTTTGGGGGAATACTTTTTTTTTTTTAAAGATTTTATTTATTTATTTGTCAGAGAGAGAACAGGAGAGAGAACACAAGCAGGGGGAGTGTCAGGCAGAGGAAGAAACAGACTCCCCGCTAAGCAAGGAGCCCAATGCAGGACTCCATCTCAGGACCCTAAGATCATGACCTGAGCCGAAGGCAGATGCTTAACCAACCAAGCCACCCAGGTGTCCCTGGGGGAATAATTTTAGATTTACAGAAAAGTTGCAGAGATAGTATAGAATTCTCATATACTTCTCACCTCGGTTCCCCTAATGTTAACATCTTCTGTTACCATTGTGCATTTGTCCAAACTGAGAAACTAACATTGGTTCATCACCATGAACTAAACTCTAAATTTTATTTGGATTTTACCAGTTTTCCCACGAATGTCCTCTTTCTGTTCCAGGATCCAGTCCAGGGCACCACAGTGCATTTGTCATCAGGTCTCCCCAGCTTCTTCTGGTCTGTGACAGCTTCCCAGTCTTGTGTTTTCATGTTCTGACAGTCTTGAAGAGTGATGACCTGTATTTTCTGTACAGACTTCTCTTTTTCCCAGTAGCCCTGTGAGAAGGTATAATTGTGCCCATTTAATAGATGAGGAAACTGAACCTCAAGAGGGTAACTTCACCCATGGTCTCAGCTGGTACGAGCAGCTCAGGTGTGATTGGAACCCAGGTCTGTGATGTATACCCATATTTTTGCCTCCAGAGCTGTGCCTTTCCCCTCTGCCCTGTGTTGCGTCTTCCCACGTGTTGGCCTCTACTGGGGCTGGTAAATACGGTAGTCTTCCCCTTATCCGTGGTTTTGCTCTCTGTGGCATGGAAGCCCAGTCTGGAAGCAGATGATCCTCCTTCTGATGTCATCGGAAGGTTAATAGTAGCCTAATGTTCTATCACAATGCCTGCATCATTCCCTTGCCTTACTTCATCAGACGGGCACTTTCTCGACTTACATCATCAATAAGAAAAAGGGTGAGTGCAGTCTAGTAAGATATTTTGAGAGAGAGAGGCCACATTCACAAAACTTTTATTATAGTACATTATAATTGTTCTACTTTGTATTAGTTATGGTTGTTAATCTCTTACTGTGCCCAATTTATAAATTAAACTTGATCATAGGTAAGTATAAACAAGTATGCATAGAAAAAAAAAACGTAGACTATATAGGGTTCAGTGCTGTCTGTGGTCTCAGGCATCCAGTGGGGGTCTTGGGACGTATCCTGCACGGATAAGAGGAACTCCTGTGCCAGGTCTGGCCCTCAGTGGGCATTGCTTCATGCCTCTGTTTCCAGATGAGGCTGGACCCAGCTGTAGAAATCATTGCCACAGAAACCTCTAGTCGGGCACTGGGAAACCGCACTGTTATGCCTCCCCCAGGGCCTGAAGGAAAGGAGCTTAGGAGAAGGGAGGGAATTCTTCATCTCCAACAGGACACTCGGGAGACCTGCCGCAGCCTGGAATGAGTCCTCGATGTGAAGCAGGTTGCCTTAGAATCTGTGAAAGCAGCCCCAGAAAATGGCTAGTCCTCCTACCAACCCTCCAGCCCAGCTCTTAAGTCCAGGCCTTCTTTCATTTGACGGTGGCCTCCGAACTGGTCTCCCCCTTCCGGACTTGTCCCTCTCCAGTCCATTCTCAACCATAAACCAGAGCGTGGCACTCTCTTGCAGTGGGATTCCACTGCATTATAGTAAATCCAGGGTTCCAATTGTGACCTGTGAGGTCATACATTAAATGACCTTGCCACCCCTCCAGCCTCATCCGTGTCAGTCATCTGCTACACCTAGCCCAATAGCCTTCTTCTGGAGTGCCCAGACCAGCTAAGCTTCTTATCACAGGGTCTTTACCCATGTTGTCCGCCTAGAGAGAACATTCTTTCTCTCTGTACTTACATGGCTGACTCCTCATCCTGCAGGAGTCCAGCTTAAGTATCATTTCCTTACTGCCTTATTTAGGTAAGCCCTTTATTACTCTCAGCATGACCTCTGCGCATTTCTTTTCTGGCTCTCAGAAATCATGGTGGGTAATATTTATTGGCATTAGAATCTAAGCTCCTCAAGGCAGGACAAGAACATTTCAAATTGTTTACCACTGTTAACACAGACTTAGCCCAGGGCCTGTGATCATTGCTCCCTAAATATTTGTGGGATGAATACTGAAGGAAACATTTATTGGTACCTACCCTGTGTAAGGGGCTGTGGGGCATGCAGGCATGAATCAGACCCTATCCTATTTTTCTTACTCATGGCATGACATTTCATTCCAAGGGACAGAAACCCATTCCAAGAAGCTCAAGTAAAGGGTTGTTCACTCCAGGTATACAAGGAATCTCATGGAGCTAATGGCAGGAAGTGGAGGCTGGGCCATATAGTGGCTTTCATGCTGTGAGCCAGCCCATGCTTTGGGCCTGGCATTGTTTTAGGAGCTTGCACGCTCTCATGCACGCTCTCGTCCTCACAATCGCCCTAAGAGGAAAGTATAAAGCCTTCACTCCAAAGATGTGGAAGTTGGGGTGCCAAAGGGGAAACTGGCCTATAGAATCATGTGATATGGTGGCTGAGCCACGCTTGTTGAGTAAAGCTCTGGTTTACCCCGTATCTGTCTGAGCCATGCCTTTCACTGCTACCCCGTACTGCCTATTTAGACAGGGGTGGGGGTGGGGAGGGGACATTTCTGTTCTCTCTTCCAGACACCAGCAGAGCTCTTAGTTCTTGTCTCTTCCCAAACTTCGGCTTGGTCGTGGGTCTCAGGTCTAGGTGTTCTGGCCTCATCCCAAAGGTTATGACCCAATGACAGCACAAAGTCCTCTAAGTGATTTTTGCCTCAACCTCCATTTCCCAGAGGCAGAGAGAATCTGTCAGCCTAGATTGGGTTACGTGTTTCCTTTCAGCCAGTTGGCTGTGTTGACGATGGGGTCAGCTTGGGGATGTGGGGCTGGCAGGTTTTCCTTCTAAGATGGGGTGTGCATGGTGGGAGTGCCTAAAGTGTGTCTTAGATGGCCTTCAGGGGGCTGGGAAAGGGGTGAGTGGGTGGGCAGAGTCTGCACGATACATAGACATAGACAAGTAGGCAGGGTTCTGTGGGAGTGGGGAGTCAGCAGTCTTGTGTAGCCAGATAAGATGGTGGAATCTGGAGACCTCTGGGGGATGTGGAGGAAGAAGAGGAAGTAGCTCAGCAGAAGTGAGGAAGGTGATTCAGATGGGGCAGGGCATGGGCAATGAGATGGGAGGCAGGAAGCACTGGTTAGGATTGGGGAGGCTTGTTCACTGGGGTTCAACAAGCGCCCCACTGGGGGTCTCTCAACATGTGTCCTATTACCTACCCAGGCTGACTGCATTCCTCTTGCGGGTGGGGTTTCCCACTGTGTTAAGTTTCCTTTTATTCCTGGCTCTGGATTGGGCATGAGGTGTGACATGAATAAGGTCCTGGGCATGGGGCTGCAAAGGTGAATCCTCCAGGAGCTTCCCTCTAAGGAGATACCAGGACTGGCTGGAGAGGGGGAGGGGGCCAGGGGTGGGAGATCAGAGAAGGTACCTACCAAGGGCGGATGTGGTTAGTCACCTGTTTTGAAGCTCAAGGGCTGGTATATTGTGCTCTATAGTTTACAGCACACTTTTGGGAGATTATGTCTTTGGAGGCTTTTAGTGTAGTACTACCTAGGAAATGGGTGCCACCAGTGTTATCCCGGGCTTCCAGATACAGAGTTGCAGATAAAGCTCAGGGGGGGGGAGGAGGTACCTCGCCCAATGTCACACCATCAGTAGCCTGTTCTGTTGATGCTTCTGACTTGTGAGGGTTCCTTTTGTAAATGTTTCTTTTCTTTCTGCCGGATTTTTCCTTGGCCATCCCAGCTGGGTAGCTTTGCCTGGGAGAACTGCGATGACAAGAAGGACCCTGTGGTGCTCAAAAGCCTGACTCTGCAGCCTGACCCCATTGCCTTTCCTGGGAACCTGACTGTCAGCGCCGAGGTCCAGATCGATGTCCCCCTCAGTAGTCCTCAGAAGGTGAGCCTGGGCATGGGTGGGGTTGGGGAGGGGCTGGAGGGAAGGTGATGGGGCCAGCTGGCAGGGGCCCTGAGGGATGTATGTTCACTGTGAGTGATTTTGCAATCCGGGATTTCCCAGAGCAGCAAAGGATGCGTAGATTCGTCTGCTGTCTAACAGCTCCAGTTGGGCAATGTTGTTGTGGTGCCGTTGTTAATTATAGGACATACACATCACTTAGTAAATAACATGTAGTCACTTTAGAAATCACAAATTGTCAAAAGGCGGGGAGAAATATATCATCTGAAATCTCAGTACCCAGTGTTAAGGGGTAAGCACTTTTAACATTTGGTAGGTGAGGCTTTGGAACTGTCCCCCATGCAATCACATATAACACACATATTAATTTTGAATGGATATGTGTGAAAAAAAAAAGCAGTGCTCCTTGTAAATGTCCTGCAGTGTGACTCCTCAGGAGATAGTCATTGTTAGCTATTTACATAATTGTCAGAATGTTTTCTACAGGACGCCTGGGTGGCTCAGTCGTCAGGCGTCTGCCTTCGGCTCAGGTCATGATCCCAGGGTCTTGGGATCGAGCCCCACATGGGGCTCCCTGCACCACGGGAAGCCTGCTTTTCCCTCCCCCACTCCCCCTGCTTGTGTTCCCTCTCTCACTGTCTCTCTCTCTGTCAAATAAATAAATAAAATCTTAAAAAAAAAAAAGAATGTTTTCTACATTTGTAAATATATGTACATTTACACTTGGGGGTTTTTATGGCATGTGCTATTAAACTTGCTTTTTCTGACATCATCTTATAGGTTCTGTACCTCTTTCTATGGCATTTGGCAGCAATCTACCTAATTTTTTTTTTTTAAGATTTCATTTATTTATTTGACAGAGAGAGAGAGAGAGAGAGCACAGGCAGGGGGAGCAGCAGAGGGAGAGGGAGAAGCAGGCTCCCCGCTGAGCAGGGAGCCCGACACGGGCTTCGATCCCAGCACCCTGGGATCATGACCTGAGCTGAAAGCAGATGCTTATATGACTGAACCACCCAGGCACCCCTACCTGATTCTTTTTAATGGCAGAAATATTCTGTTGTAGATCTGTCTTGATGCACTTAACAAATCTATTGCCAGACATTTAGTCTGTTTCTGTGGTAGTTTTTGTCTGTTTGGCTTTGTTTATTTTTTGGCTGTTAGAAACACCTTTGCTAAAATTATCCTTGTAATGTATCTTTTTGTCCTTCTCTGATTATCTAGTCACAACCTTTTTAGGTCTTTAGATAACAGATTGCCAGAGTGCCTCCACATATTTGAACCCATGTATCCTCTCCAACAGATTTGCCAGCAACAGATTTGCTTTTTCTACACATTAATGATTCTGAGCATTTTCTAATAATATTTTCCACGTGTTGGAAAATAGTGAGGTTTGATGTCTTTTCATTAATTTTGTTGCCTTTTGTATATACTTCGGGATTGGCCAGTTTGATGATGTCTGTTTTCCTCTTTTGGGGTGGCTATTTACATGCTTTTCAACAGAACAATAAAGGCTTTTCATAGGTCTATTGTAACACCATACATACTGTACTTCTCACTACTTTGAATTGCTGCCTTTATAGCATATTCTTACATGCCCTTCAGCTTGTCCCAGTGCAGCTCTATTCTGGCACCAGTTTTATTCTGATTCTTTAAAAGCTTTCTGATTTAGAATCTATCCCTGTAACTACCATTCAATGGTAGTAATCAATGGTAGTAACCTGGCCGAATCACAGCCGCTACCTCGTAGGTTGCTGATGGACAATTACTGGGTTAATAATGTGGAGAGCGCTTTGCACAGGACCTGGCCCACAAGACCTGCTCAGAACGTTAACTCTTGTTAATAGTTCAGTTAGTGTTAATCTTTTCCTGCTGCCCCTGGGACCCGGACAGAAGCCCCGGATGTGTGTGGGCCACTCTCGGGCCCTGCCTTCGTCGGTACCTCCTTCCACGTCTTCTCCAGGCAAGATCATTGCATTTTCTTTAGCCAAACTTCAACTGATAATCTAGCAGGGTCACACAAATGCCATTTCCCTGCTCCTTCTGCTGAGTCTGGGGTGCAGGGCTCTCTGGCAGGTGCTCTCCTGACACTGTTATGCAAAACGCTGGCTTTTCCATGACACTGTGCATCTGACTTGGAAGGAAAAAACTGGCGATCTCCTTCTGCCCCCAGCCTGCTTTTCTTGGCTTCTTTGAAGGCCATTGAGAAGAACACTCCCTTTCCTATTACTTAATTACCTGTCATAAATTTGGACCATCGCACTTTTTAAAAACTGTGCTCAGATTCCCTCTGCCACTCCCCTTCCCCCTACCTTTCTCTTCTATATTTTTGGTTTAGTTCTTTTACTTTTCAGGTAATGTGCATATTAGCCATTAAGTGAAAGCCTCTGAACACTTGTGTAGGAGAAACAATGATTAACCTCATTTTACAGATAAGAGACACTGAGGCTCATAGAAAGGTGCACCCTGCCCCAGGTCACAGGTTATTAGCACATTCAAGGCCGGGTGTCCTTATATTGTGTTGTTCCCTGTTCCTGAACTTTTTCAGGCAGGGAGGTGGACTTCGTGCTTGGTGTGTTTGTAGGAGAGTGCTCCAGAACTCTCCCTTGCTCAGCAGAGACCCCGTTGGGACAGTACCGACTCTAGGACTCTAGCCCCGTGTGAGCCTGGAGGCCTCAATGGCTTCCACCTCTTGTTACTGAGGCCCAGAGGGGAGAGTAAGTGTCCAGGCCACTGGAGAGCCAACCCATCCTCTCTTTCTCTGACCTTGCTGAAGTGGAATTTTTTTAATCCAGAGTCTCATCTCAGACCTGGGTGGATTTAACCCTAGCTGCAGTGTTGAGAAGCTGGATGCCCCAGATTCCATGAGCCATGGGCAAGACTGGGGCTACTCGGGAGCTCCCTTTTCCTCTTTTGACTTGCTTCATAGGATTCGGCATGATTTATAACTTCCTTCTGTGGGCCCTCTCTCAAGTTCCAGCCTCTGGGACCCTGGTTCTCCCATGCTCAGGAATCAAATTGCTGCTTTATTTGGCATATACGCTTATTTGGGGCTTTTAGACGTGGCTTTCAGGCCTGATGGTTTGGCCTTCTTTCCCCCCTAAAATCATGTACCTGCAGTGCCGCTGCCTGAGGCCTGTGACCTTTTTAACTGCCCCCTTCCCAGTGTATCACATGGCTCCCCTTCAGTTGCTATCAGTGTATCTTTATCTAGAGCCTTTGTGTGCCTCTCTGTGTGGGAGAGCGGTCAGCAAGGGAGGCAACTTGAGTTTGTCCACTCAGGATCCAGAGTACACTGATGTCTCCCTTCCTCCTGGGCCTGGATCCTGACATCTAGGGTGGTTGGAAGATTGAGTCCACAACCTGGGGAGCCAGCCCAAGCCCAGCAGGCTCTGGGGGGAATAAGCGCCCATCCAGGATTTGTCTCTTAAACACAAAAGTCCTAAATCAGGTGAGCCTGGAGGCTGGGAAACATGGAATTAATAGGATGTCAGAACTGAAAGGGGTCTTAAAATTGTGGTTTCCCGCCATAACACCCACAAGGAATCAGATGCTCCAGTGAGCTAACGTCCTCCTGCCCTTTCCTTACTGTTTTCCCTTGATACATTTTGGGGGGCTCAGGGCACGAACATGGTCAAGAGAGACAACTCACTTAGTGAATGCCTGGCAAACACCAGGCACAGCTGGGACTGTCCCCCTTGAGATGCTGGCCACTTCTGGGTCAGCTGCAACCTCTAGAACAGGAATAGCATCATGGCAGCATGGAGGTGTGAAGCACATCATAGATCTCGTCCAGCTTCTCTCTGGATGTAGAGCTCCTTCAGTGGCTTCCCCAACTGAGTCCAGGGAGCCCACCACTTTTTGGGGTGGTTCTGTCTGTTGTAACCTAGCTATGATGGTTAGGAAGATCTTGCTTTATATCAATCCCCAAGTGACCTCCCTATAAATTCCTATTGTTTTAAATTCTGTCTTGCGGCGCCTGGGTGGCTCAGTCAGTTAAGCGTCTGCCTTTGCCTCAGGTCGTGATCTCAGGGTCCTGGGATCGAGTCCCCACATCAGGCTGCCTGCTCAGTGGGGAGTCTGCTGCTCCCTCTCTCTCTGTGATCTCTCTTGTTCTCACTCTCAAGTAAATAAATTAAAAAATCTCAAAAAAATAAATTCGGTGTTTGATGGCTGTACACAGGAAATTTGATCCAAGGATAGAAAATAGGTTTCTGCTCCAATTGGCTGGCAGTAGCTGAGGTCCTACACAGACAAGGGCTCTGAAGCCAAGATTGGACTGAGAAGGGAAGTCTAGGAAGTGATGCTAGTTAGCCAGTTAGCAGTTAGAGAAGTGCATTTCAAATCCAGTGTTAGCTTCCACTGATGGCAGTGACACTACCTAAAGAATTCTTTTTTTTTTTTTAAAGATTTTATTTATTTATTCATGAGAGACAGAGAGCGAGAGAGAGAGAGGCAGAGGGAGAAGCAGGCTCCCAAGGAGCAGGGAGCCCGATGTGGGACTCGATCCCAGGACCCTGGGATCATGACCTGAGCCGAAGGCAGACGCTTAACCATCTGAGCCACCCAGGCGCCCTACCTAAAGAATTCTAAGACTGTGGTTCAGTGAAGGTGTAGGGGGAATCACAGCGATGATTAATACCTGCCATGGGCACAGGAAGAGGTACCATTGTGGTATGTGCCACAATATTGTCTCTTCTGGATCAGAGTATCTCCAAGACCCCATCCGATGAAAAATTCTGTGATTAAAATAAAATGCTGACCTTTTGGAGATGTAGAGGGTCTGGCATGTTTGCCTTGGAATTCATACTGTGTCAAACTCTTTCTTACCAGCTGGAATTAACTGTGGAGAAGGAAGTGGCCAGCTTCTGGGTCAAAGTCCCATGTGTGGAACAAATTGGTAGCTGCACCTATGAAGACTTCTGCCAAATACTTGGTGCTTTAATTCCCCCTGGACAGCCCTGCCCGGAGCCCCTGCACACCTATGGGCTTCCCTGCCACTGTCCCATCAAAGTAGTAAGTACTTAGGGAAGGAGAGTATTATTTCTGTGGCTGGAGTAAAGACAGGGGTCTTGCATTCTCCTCCTGCAGATCTGGATGTCTGTGGCTGTAAATTAGTGTGATCTATCCCAAATTGCTTATGTTTGGAGGGCCTTGGTTTATCCATCTGTGAATTGGGAGACTTGAACTGCAGTGTGCCCTCCAGTGCCTGTGAGCTGTAACATTCCATGCTCTGTAGACCTCCGGCGATCTCTAATCTCACGTGGCTCTTGGGAGAGTGGGAGGAGGGGCAGTTCATGACTGCAGTCTTACAGGAGAGTTCCAGGAGAGTCCCATCAGTAGGGTCCCACTGACTGTGATCCATTGGTTTTCCCACAGGGCATCTATTCACTGCCCAAGACTGAGTTCACCCTGCCCAGCATGGAGCTGCCCAGCTGGCTCAGCTCCGGGTCCTACCGCATCAAGAGCATCCTCAGCAGTGGTGGGAAACGCCTGGGCTGTATCAAGATCTCTGCCTCTCTGAAGGGCAAATAATGTAGCACCAGCCACAGCAGAATGAAGGGGTATGAGGAAGATGTCCCTCTTCTTCTTTCTTGCATTTGCCAAGGTCAAATTCTGACTCTCTGTCCCCCTTCAAGCCCCTTTCTACAATGATGCCACTTCCCTCACTGAAAATCCTTTTGTGCCATCTACGTTTTAGGCACGGGCAGGCAGCCCTAACCTAGGGAGGAGCCTGGCAGTTCTTGATAGCCCACGACACCTGCCAGGCCGGCTGCTTCATTTTCCTCGTCAAACCTATGATTTTCTAAGAGCTTAACTCATTTTCTAAATAATCAAGGAATGGGATGAATATATTTTGTGACCCCAAGTTCAGACTGACCCAATCTTGGTTTCCTGAAGTACCTTCATGATTTTCTTAAATTTTTTTTTTTTTTTTGGTCACTGACTTAAAAGCAGAATGAGAGTATTAATTAAGTTTTTGTTTTACTCCAGGCCCCTCTTACGATGAAGGGACTGAAGTAGTTCACCCTAGTCTATTCCTCCATTAACTTCTCTGATTAATTCAGTATTCTTTCCTAGATTTGCCCAATGAACAGTGGGGCCTGGCGTATCCTAGGGAGGTAGGGCATGTGGTGGAGGGCTTCACTAGGAGAGGTATTTAAGAACGCTCTATGTATTTAAAATAGTTTACAAACTCAGGTGCCTTCTGGGCCAAGCACAAGACCTAAACGAGTGAGGATGACCACAAGGAACATATTGCTTCCAGGCATGTCTTTCCCCACCCCTCTTTGTATAGCAGCTCATATCCACTGTTACAAGGCAGCTGATGTCCAGGCTTGAGCTTGGTAATATTAGCAGGGATGATGGGGCCTGAATTGAGTTAGAGAGGGTGCATTCAGCCCTTAGGGGCACCTGCTGTAGGGCTCTGGCAGTTGGTGCCACGTGAGAATGTTGTGGGCCCAATATTACCAAATAGTCTCCATTGTTTTTCCTTGGAGAAGCCAGAAATCCAGACTTTTATATGAAATCTTATGGTTTTTAAATATTGGCAACTAATTATTTTTTAAAACACTGTGCAGGCCAAAAGGGCCAAACAGACTTGTCAGTGGGGAAGTCTGGCCCAGTGTGGCCAGTTTGTGACCTCTGACATAAGAACATGCATTCCTTGTCCTTTGGTCTTGAGACAACTCTGCCAGTGCCGTTTCTCCCTCCCTAGGGCCAAATCCATAGTGTCTGCCCCACGGAGCAGGCTCTTCCAGGGCTTGAGGAGAGGGAGGCAGCCTCTCAGAGATGTGAGCTTCAGGGATCACAAGGCTGCCTGCCCCAGCCTAAGAGTGTTGTTGGGGTGAATGGGGCAAACACTGAAGAGTTGGAACCCACCAGCAGCTGCTCTGCGGAGCAAGGATCCCACGAAGAGGGGTGGACTCACATCAGGTGCCTGGGTTTGTCCATCATCCTATCCTCCGTGACAGCCTACTGACCCATGGATCGTCCCCAGTTTCTGGGCTCATGTGAAGCCTGGAATGGCAATAAAACTTTTTGACTTGCTGAAAATTCCTCCTTTGTCTTGGCTGCATATTTGTCCATCTTGGGGTTTTTGGAGCTTGTTCACGGTGGGCTGTTCCTGCTGGAAAGTTTTGTTGTGGGTGGTACGGACGAGCCGAGGTGATTTCAGGGACTGTCTCTTCTGTTTCTGCCTTGTGAGCTGCTCGTTATCGCTGCTTCATTCGGCCTCATCACCATACAGTGTCCTTGGTTTGCTTTTTTGCTTTCCTATTGCTCTGTGACCATGCCAGCCTTTTCCCTTTTTGGCTTTTTTGACCTGATTCTCACAGTTGTTCTCAGTTCATATCCTATAATGGAATCTCATTAGCTCGGTATATCTTTCCATGTCATGCCAGGCTCTTGGGTCCAATGTTCCCCCCGGTCTCACTGAGGAGGGGATGAGAAATCTCAAATCACAGGCAAAATAGACTTTTTAAGGAATGGTACTGAGCCAACTGGAAAGCCATTTGGAAAAAGTTGAAATTAGATTCGTTCTTCACACCATATGCAGAATAAACTCCAAATGTATCCAGGGTCTAAATGTCAGAAAATGAAATCATACAAGTACTAAAAGAAAACATAGGTGAAAAATCTAGAGGTGATAAAAAACTGATACATTTAGCTACATTAAAAAAAAAAAGTCACTTAAGAAATACCATAAAGTCAAAAGACTGGAAGAAAACATATACAGCACATATCATAGACAAAGTGTTAATATTTCTACTATATAAAGAATGAAACATTGAAGGGACTAAAAACCTGATAGAAAAATTGAGAAAAGACAACTCTCTCTTTCTCTCACACACACTCACACTAAAATGTGAAAATGGCCCTTAAACATGAAAAATGTACACACTTACCCATGATTAGAAAAATGTCAATTGAAACAATAGAGAGGATGTCACGTCTCAGACTGGTGAACAATGGAAATACAACCACACTGCTAGGCAAGGCTGTAGGGAGACAGGCATTCCTACACAGCTGGTGGGAATGCAAAGTGGTACAATTCTTGACAAGGATTTGTCAGTACCTACCTAAACAAACCAAAAAATGCTTACTCTTTGACCCAACATCTACCACTGGGAATTTCCTCTGAAGTTACACTGCCAAAAATACAAAATTATGCCCACATGTTGATTATTCATTGCAGCGTTGTGATTGCAAAGACTGGAAATGTAAATGTCTATAAGAAAGTGACTGAATAGGGGCACCTGAGTGGCTCAGTCGTTAAGTGTCTGCCTTTGGCTCAGGTCATGATCCCGGGGTCCTGGGATCAAGCCCCACATCGGGTTCTCTGCTCAGCGGGAAGCCTGCTTCTCCCTCTCCCACTCCCCCTGCTTGTGTTCCCTCTCTCGCTGTGTCTCTCTCTGTCAAATAAATAAATAAAATCTTAAAAAAAAAAGAAAGTGGCTGAATAACAAATTAGATAATCTGGAAGAACTGGATGCATTCCTAGAGATGTATAAACTACCAAAACTGAACCAGGAAGAAATAGAAAACCTGAACAGACCCATAATCAGCAAGGAAATTGAAGCAGTCATCAAAAATCTCCCAACAAACAAGAGCCCAGGGCCAGATGACTTCCCAGGGGAATTCTACCAAACACTGAAAGAAGAATTAATACCAATTCTTCGGAAACTGTTCCAAAAAATAGAAACAGAAGGAAAACTTCCAACCCTTTCTATGAGGCCAGCATTACCTTGATTCCAAAACCAGACAAAGACCCCACCAAAAAGGAGTATTACAGACCAATAGCACTGATGAACATGGATGCAAAAATTCTCACCAAGATACTAGCCAATAGGATCCAACAGTACATTAAAAGGATTATTCACCACGACCAAGTGGATTTTATTCCTGGGCTACAAGGTTGGTACAACATCTGCAAATCAATCAATATGATACATTCCATAAATAAAAGAAAGGACAAGAACCACATGATACTCTCAATAGATGCAGAAAAAACATTTGACAAAGTACAGCATCCTTTCTTGATTAAAACTCTTCACAGTGTAGGGATAGAGGGTACATACCTCAATATCATAAAGCCATCTATGAAAAACCCACAGCAAAGATCATTCTCAATGGGGAAAAACTGAGAGCTTTTCCCCTAAGGTCAGGAACACGGCAGGGATGTCCACTATCACCACTGCTGTTCAACATAGTACTGGAAGTCCTAGCCTCAGCAGACAATAAAAAGAAAAGGCATCCAAATTGGCAAATAAGTCAAACTCTCACTTTTCGCAGATGATATGATACTTTATGTGGAAAACCCAAAAGACTCCTCCCCAAAACTCATACAGGAACTCAGGAAAGTGGCAGGATATAAAATCAATGCACAGAAATCAGTTGCATTCCTATACACCAACAACAACAGAAGAAAGAGCAATTAAGGAGTTGATCCCATTTACAATTGCACCCAAAATCATAAGATACCTAGGAATAAACCTAACCAAAGAGGTAAAGGATCTGTACTCAGAATACTATAGACTACTCATGAAAGAAATTGAGGAAGACACAAAGAAATGGAAAAACGTTCCATGCTCATGGATTGGAAGAACCAATATTGTGAAAATGTCTATGCTACCTAAAGCAATCTACACATTTAATGCAATCCCTATCCCCAAAATACCATCACCTTTTTTCACAGAGCTGGAACAAATAATCCTAAAATTTGTATGGAACCAGAAAACACCCTGACTAGCCAGAGGAATGTTGAAAAAGAAAAGCAAAGCTGGTGTCATCACAATTCCGGAAGCTGTGATCATCAAGACAGTATGATACTGGCACAAAAACAGACACATAGATCAATGGAACACAATAGAGAACTCAGAAATGGACTCTCATCTCTATGATCAACTAATCTTCCACAAAGCAGGAAAGAATATCTAATGGAAAAAAGACAGTCTCTTCAACAAATGGTGTGGGGAAAACTGGACAGCCACATGCAGAAGAATGAAACTGGATCATTTCCTTACACCATACACAAAAATAGACTCAAAATGGATGAAAGACCTAAATGTGAGACAGGAATCCATCAAAATCCTTGAGGAGAACACAGGCAGCAACCTCTTTGACCTCAGCAGCAGCAACTTCTTTCTGGACACATTGTCAAAGGCAAGGGAAGCAAGGGCAAAAATGAACTATTGGGACTTCAACAAGATAAAAAGCTTTTGCACAGGGGCGCCTGGGTGGCTCAGTTGGTTAAGCGACTGCCTTCGGCTCAGGTCATGATCCTGGAGTCCCGGGATCGAGTCCCACATCGGGCTCCCTGCTCAGCAGGGAGTCTGCTTCCCCCTCTGACCCTCTTCCCTCTCGTGCTCTCTATCTCTCATTCTCTCTCTCTCAAATAAATAAATAAAATCTTTAAAAAAAAAAAAAAAGCTTTTGCACAGCAAAGGAAACAGTCAACAAAACCAAAAGACAACTGACAGAATGGGAGAAGATATTTGCAAATGACATCTCAGATAAAGGGCTAGTATCCAAAATCTATAAAGAACTTATCAAACTCAACACCCAAGGAACAAATAATCCAATCAAGACCTGGGCAGAAGACATGAACAGACATTTCTGCAAAGAAGACATCCAAATGGCCAACAGGCACATGAAAAAGTGCTCCACATCACTGGGCATCAAGGAAATACAAATCAAAACCACAATGAGATACCACCTCACACCA